GCATGGCGAATGGGTTAATAAAATGTGTGGATAGGCTTTTCTAAGTTTAGCGTCTTTCTTGAAATACTCATCATCATCATCATCATCATCATCATGGCATTAACTGACAAATTGAATAAAATAATGGACACAAGTTCACCTCATCTGGTCTGTTAAAATTGTATCAATAATAGTGATATATAGTTACATGAATATAAAGACACTCAGATAGATATCAATACAGATATATATATATCTAAATAGATAGAGAGATAGAGATAGATATATAAATATAGATTTATAAAAGTATGTATTTGCAGATAAAAATTAACCCAATGCCGACGGGTATGACGTGTACATACGTGCTATGCCCACCATGAGTACTTGTTTGATTGTTTTTACGCATAGATGGCAACACTTGTACAAACTCCCCAATGAGCCAATTACGAGTACCGCCCGTCTCGCCCGTTTACCCTTTTCTTTCATTTACAAAATATTTTACGTTATCTTATTTTGCTGTTACTAATGTTAAAAAACATTATAAAAATTATAATGTTTATGATAAAAATAACACCATCTATTTTCATAGCACTAGTGTAAAATACGTTTTTCCCACCATTTCAAATCAGGTGCTAGCAGAGCCATCTATCGGCAGACATTTCACAAAAAACATAGAAAGTGGGCACAGCATTTTCCCCATTTTTTGTTCATTTTCCCCAGCGGCATTGGGTTAAAGGTAAACAGCATATTTCTAAATATTGTGTCATTAACTAAAATTCATATTGCGATAATTATAATCTCTGCTTAACCAATACATACAGCAACACCTCTCTTCCTTACCTGGACAGCACGATACTTGGGCTCATTCCGAAAAGCATAGACCCAAGTGGCCAGCATCATAAGGATCTTCTTTCTCACTTCTTCATTGGGATTCGAGCGCAGAATATCACTAATCTGCTCCATGACTCCTCGACATGCCACCTGCTCATGCACGGACTGCCCGCAATTCTTCACAACAGACTCAAAAACTTGCAGCGCCAGCAGGACAACATTTGGGTTTGTGTCCTTCAGCCGATTCAGCAACGACTGAACAGCAGCCTTGGGGCTGAAGGGGGAAACATCAGGTTACAATTATGGAATGTTACAGGTAATCTGTCATGGTAAAAGGATACTTAATAGTTTGTGCCTTAGACAGTACAAAGATACTATCTACTTGATGCTAACTGTTCAAAGTGTATTATTTACTTGTAGAGTTAAGATTTTATTAAACATTAATTAATGCTCACTAAAAGTATGTATCAGCTTATATGGAATTGTTATCCTACAACATCCATGTAGCAATACAGATCTACACTTGGGACTTAGAGTTATTAATACTGGTTTTCATAAGCATATGGATATCAATAATACACAGAACAGGCAGTGTCAAGCAGAAATATGTATCAAGTTTATGGGAACATTCCATTGAAATATAAAATTAAACATCTAAAGTAGTTTCTTTCACTAATAATCCCTTTTATCCAACCAACCATTAATACATCATAATTGGACTTATATCTTTAAAACCGGTCTCTTTTGATAACTCGGAAATGAAAACGATCTCGCAAACTTACTTTACATCTCCTTGGCGTATCAGATCAACAATATGCAGAGTCGAGTCCCAGTCGATGTCTAGAAGTAATGGGCTTGTTGCCTTCTCTGTAATATGAGTTTCAAACCATTAATTCTTTGCATTTTAAACATATATATTTTTCATTGCAATAAATCTAACACAACATAAAAACAAATATTTTAGAAAGGCATTTACAGACACTATGTTAAAGCAGCTCCCTCCCTCCCTTTTTCTTCTTTCACTTATCAAATATCAATGGGAAAATGTTTTTTTAACCGAGGATAAATATAATGCATTTGATTTTTTGGCAGAAAAGGAAAATTAAATATAATAAAAAGTGAACACTATGTTGTTAGTCTTCTACAGAAGTGTATGTCATCCTCTTTCATAAATTCAGGAATTACATACAGATGGCAGATTAGTTTTCTTTTTATAAATTCACCATGAAAAATAAGTTCAGAATGCACCTCTTCTATTTCTTTGTATGTTTTGTATATTTTCGTATCATAATGAGAAATGCCAAAAATTTTGAATCTATTAACCCAATGCTGCCGGGATTGGCCTGTATATACATGCCATGCCCACTGTGAGTTTACTTTATTAATTGTTTTTACACATAGATGGCTACACATGAGCTAATTACGAGCACTGCCTGTCTCACCTGTTTACCCTTTTCTTTGATTTACGAAAATATTTTACGTTATCTTTTTTTACTGTTACCAATGTTTATAACATTAGAGTAATCATAATGTCTATAATAAAAATAGCACCATCAATATTCATTGCATTGCTAAAAAAAAAAATAAATAAAATAAAGGAAAGGTGAAATCAGGTAAAGTCACAAGCTCGACCGACTGACTCCTTTGTGACTGAGCACTAGCAGATCCATCTATGTGCAAAGACATTTCACAAAAAATAAAAAATGAGCACAGCATTTTCCCTAGTTGGAAAAGAAAATCTAAAGACTTCTATAAAAAATTGTTCACTCAACCAAACTGTTCCATATAAATGTATTTCATGTGATATTAATAGCAATTAAAAACAAATGAAAAAATATAAGTATTTCACTGAACTTGTAAATGCAAAAAAAAAAAAATCAATAAAATATTAAAAATTAGGTAATATTATACAAAACAGAAGTTAAAACAGAAGATAGAAGTCTGTCATAAAGTTTCCAGTGTATTTGAGTCATGCAATTTTCTTTTCCAAACTCTTCAACCCATTGGAACCTGTGACATTGATTGTCCACTTTCATTATATACTTGTTGATTTCATTTACAAAAAGATGGCTTCACTTAGTTAATAAGTTACTTAACAAGAGGAGTCAATTACTAGGCCTAACCTAAATACCTCGTTATTTGATTTTCAGGAAGATACTCAAAAAAAAAAAAAAAAAAAAAAAAAAAAAAAAAAAAAAAAAATCTAATCTGCTTCTCATTACTAGAGATATTATATATCAACATAATCATCATCATCATTATTATCAATATCATCTATCATTTTCATTATCATTATCACTATTATCTATCTTTATCATTATTATCTATCATTTTCATTATCATTATCACTATTATCTATCTTTTTCATTATCATTATCACTATTATCTATCTTTATCATTATTATCTATCATTTTCATTATCATTATCACTATTATCTATCATTTTCATTATCATTATCACTATTATCTATCTTTATCATTATTATCTATCATTTTCATTATCATTATCACTATTATCTATCATTTTCATTATCATTATCACTATTATCTATCATTTTCATTATCATTATCACTATTATCTATCATTTTCATTATCATTACCACTATTATCTATCTTTATCATTATTATCTATCATTTTCATTATCATTATCACTATTATCTATCTTTATCATTATTATCTATCATTTTCATTATCATTATCACTATTATCTATCTTTATCATTATTATCTATCATTTTCATTATCATTATCACTATTATCTATCTTTATCATTATTATCTATCATTTTCATTATCATTATCACTATTATCTATCATTTTCATTATCATTATCACTATTATCTATCTTTATCATTATTATCTATCATTTTCATTATCATTATCACTATTATCTATCATTTTCATTATCATTATCACTATTATCTATCATTTTCATTATCATTATCACTATTATCTATCTTTATCATTATTATCTATCATTTTCATTATCATTATCACTATTATCTATCATTTTCATTATCATTATCACTATTATCTATCTTTATCATTATTATCTATCATTTTCATTATCATTATCACTATTATCTATCTTTATCATTATTATCTATCATTTTCATTATCATTATCACTATTATCTATCATTTTCATTATCATTATCACTATTATCTATCATTTTCATTATCATTATCACTATTATCTATCATTTTCATTATCATTATCACTATTATCTATCATTTTCATTATCATTATCACTATTATCTATCATTTTCATTATCATTATCACTATTATCTATCATTTTCATTATCATTATCACTATTATCTATCTTTATCATTATTATCTATCATTTTCATTATTATCAATATCATCTATCATTTTCATTATCATTATCACTATTATCTATCTTTATCATTATTATCTATCATTTTCATTATCATTATCACTATTATCTATCTTTATCATTATTATTTTTCATTATAATTATTATTATCACTATTATCTATCTTTATCATTATTATCTATCATTTTCATTATCATTATCACTATTATCTATCATTTTCATTATCATTATCACTATTATCTATCATTTTCATTATCATTATCACTATTATCTATCATTTTCATTATCATTATCACTATTATCTATCTTTATCATTATTATCTATCATTTTCATTATCATTATCACTATTATCTATCATTTTCATTATCATTATCACTATTATCTATCATTTTCATTATCATTATCACTATTATCTATCTTTATCATTATTATCTATCATTTTCATTATCATTATCACTATTATCTATCTTTATCATTATTATCTATCATTTTCATTATCATTATCACTATTATCTATCTTTATCATTATTATCTATCATTTTCATTATCATTATCACTATTATCTATCATTTTCATTATCATTATCACTATTATCTATCATTTTCATTATCATTATCACTATTATCTATCATTTTCATTATCATTATCACTATTATCTATCTTTATCATTATTATCTATCATTTTCATTATCATTATCACTATTATCTATCTTTATCATTATTATCTATCATTTTCATTATCATTATCACTATTATCTATCATTTTCATTATCATTATCACTATTATCTATCATTTTCATTATCATTATCACTATTATCTATCTTTATCATTATTATCTATCATTTTCATTATCATTATCACTATTATCTATCATTTTCATTATCATTATCACTATTATCTATCTTTATCATTATTATCTATCATTTTCATTATCATTATCACTATTATCTATCATTTTCATTATCATTATCACTATTATCTATCATTTTCATTATCATTATCACTATTATCTATCATTTTCATTATCATTATCACTATTATCTATCATTTTCATTATCATTATCACTATTATCTATCATTTTCATTATCATTATCACTATTATCTATCATTTTCATTATCATTATCACTATTATCTATCTTTATAATAATATATAATGCTAATCAAAGAGAATCACAGACTGTACTTTCTCTTTGCCTCCAAAATATCAAGAGTGCTCTAGATTCATCTCCCTGAGTAGTTCCCCAGACAGCGCACCTGTTCCTGGCCAGAGAGCTGCCAATCCCTCATTTGTGCCTGGTTCTGATAGGCTCGGCTGCCCTCAACTCAGTGGCTTCCGGGAATAAAGTGGCTACCAGGACAGAGGGTACTTCCTACTGCAAGTGTGTGTTTATTTTATGTTCATCTTGGTGTGATGCTTCCTATAATGTGTTTTGGCTAAAGTGATCCAATCATATATGCATTTTCCTTGATTGTGTGCTTCAAGGAATCAGTGTTCATGGGGCGTTTCAGTGTTGTTGGTATATTATGGATTCCAATGACCTCTGCATGCTCTGAGTATTCGTGCCCATCTAAATCAGTTGCAATACTTGGGATCCTGAACAATGATGAAACTGAACTTGTGAACTCTGACCTTTTTCCTCCACATAAACATTCCCACTGACTTTCTCCACCCTGATGCCAAGGTTCTTATTGCTATTCCATTTAAACCCTCCTCTGAGCTGACAAATCTTGAATACATCCCACAGTGGCATGATAAGGCCTACTATAACACTGCTATAACCTTCTATAACAGCCATAACACAATGTCAACAGTGTAATGATTCTAAAGCGTTGCCATCACAGCAGACCAAATCAAGCAACAGCATCGAGTCCCTGCGGAGAGCACAACCCCATACATCTCCGCTGGAATGAGTCGCAGCGTTTCCCTCGAGTGACCCTCCTGCTGTGACATACTTATTCCTGCCGCGACTCAGGATCCCGAAATCCCGAATTCCAACACATTCCTCGCATTGCCCGACGGAAAGACTTCGGGAGGGACTTAGAACTCACCTAGCAGCAAGTTAATCTCAGACGACATTATGAACGGCTATGGAATCGACTTAAAAGCGAGGCAGAATTGCTCAACAGGACTTCGAGTCGCAAGTCGCCTCCTCCTCCCATTTGTCAAGAAGCAGCTGATCGGCGGGGCTTCTCTGGCGCATTCGGGCGAGCGAGCGGGCTTGGCGGGTGACGTCACGATGAGGTAGTCGTGTCGTCACACTTATGGAGTTGGGCTGACTTTTACACATAAAATATCTAATATGTAACCAAAAATAATGTTTCTTTTTAAGTAGTAGTTCAAATAATGAATCATCTTCTATATTTAATTACGTTAGAGACTATATGCTTCTGGTGAGTGTGAGTATGATGTCATAAACTCAACCCAGCTTGACTAAGGATCACGAGACTTCGCTTCTAGTTTTTAAGTCCTTTGCTTTGACATTTGTTTCCTATTAGATTAAACGTTCGCCGGAATCAATTAACGAGAAATAAATTCACCCCCAAAATATTACATGAACCGATTATTATGATATTGATGTGAGAAACTGCATGCTTTTAACGTTTTCTACTTTCCACGGAGGAGGGGAAACTATGACACTATGTCAATATCTGGAAATTCAATCCTCTGTGTGTGTTTTTATCTAGTTCTTTCCTACTTGTTTCAATGCGGGAGAAGAGCCGAGCTCATGTGGTTCCGTCTGCTATATTTAAATTATCATATAACTTTTTAAACTGATGCACATTTTTGGCACACATAACGATATCTGGAAGACTGTTCCATGTTCCAGTAGTTATGTTTGGGAAACTGAACCTCTTGACATTTTTTCCTCTCCTTTTACTTTCAACTTTGTCTAACTTCACCTTTCCTGTAATATAGTTGAACACCATTATCATGTCACCTCTTTTTCTTCTTTCTTCCAAAGCAGTAAGACCTATGTTCTGTAGTCTTTCCTCGTAGCTCAAATCTCTTAGAGTAGGTGACCACCTTGTGGCTGCTCTTTGAACTCTTTCTAACTTGTGTATATCATTTTTATTAAGAGTGGACTCATACCACTGCACCATAATCAAGACCAGGCCTTATGAAAGCTGCAATGACCTTCTTGACCATGTCTTCGTCCATATACACGAATGCCCTCTTCATGTTAGCAATCAGCCCTAGCATTTTATGAACCTTGTCATTTATATGATCATTTTGGCTTAGGTTAGCGGAACGCAAGTGGTGTCACAATACCTGTGCCAGACCCATCCATCAGCGGGAACCTCCAAATCTGAGATTAGGGAGGCGACCAGTAAGCTAGAAGTCATCC